CTTGAGGACTGCATTCACGGCTGAACAGTAATAATGGCCCTCAAGATGGCGGTTACCTGAACATTCACACACACACACACACACGCACGTACACACGCATGCCCACAAACACACACACACACACACACACACACACACACACACACAAACACACACACATACACACACACACACAAACACACACACATACACACACACACACACACACACAAACACACACACATACACACAAAACTCTCCGAGGTACAACAATATACTAACATTGTAGCCTTTTCGTCCACTGTTTGCCTACACTACGTTCTGCCTGCACGTAATTTTGCACACTCTTTGCACATTAGGTAGATCCCTCATACAAAAACACATACACAACAAACAGCATGTCATAGTTGTGTAAGATCGGAGGTGGAAATACGAGAATGGAGCCACAAATTGATATAAACTCAGGGTTTTAAATATCTCTATAGAGCTCTGATGAGGGATGACTTTCCCGGAACACTAATTGGGTATACGTAGTGATGTGTCGGCTCACACACCACTGCACACTGCAGGGTTCTTAGAGCACAAATCTTGTTTGCTTACTCACGCTCAACTGGTACATGGTGAGCAGTGAGTTAAGTGGAGCAGTGTGTGTTGAGCAGGGAGTGGTCCTTTCTTGCAGGTTTGCCAAGTCTAAGCGTGTATACAACGGCCTGTGGATGTGTGTGTGTGTGTGTGTGTGTGTGTGTGTGTGTGTGTGTGTGTGTGTATGTGTGTCGGGGGGGGGGGGGGGGAGGGGGCTGGTAGTGTGCGTGCATGCATGCTTTCACTTGCATACTTACTGATGCATTCGGGTATATTAATCAACTTTCCACTTGCTGTACAGCTTGACTGGTTCCTTCCCAACAGCCAATAGCCAGTTTTACAACTGTATATCACATTCGTCGAATAATCGATATCGCCAGAATAACTTGGTACGCCATTCATAATGACCGGCACGGAACAAGTCACAACTGTGAACGGAACAGAAGAAGGTCAAATTTACATTTTGCCCGGTTGCATCTTTCCCTCAATCCTGTGAATACTAGAATTAGAAATAAGTGTTAAAAAACATTAAACAAGATAAGGTAAACTGGCCGTGAACGAGAGAGCTTGGAAGCCCAGGGCTCTACACTATGCATTTTTTGCCTAGCTCATCATGCAGATTATTAGAACTGATGGAATTTTCTCTTTGGCCCCAACTTTACGTCCGACCATGGCGGCTACAATGCCCAACCATACCACAACAAACTGATCGGCTACATCATTGTATTGCAAAAAGCTTCCATCTGTTCCATTAACATGCATGATGAGCTAGGCAAAAAAGCACAGCGTAGGGCCCCGGGGCGAAAGAAATGAACTTTCTCTCTGCATTCGAGGGTAATATGACACTGTCTACCACCTTGATGACCTAGGCAATTTTTTTCATTTCTCCTATTTTTTCAAGACATAACCTGGGATTCGAACCTGCACTATCGCCCTGCATGCATTCCCCCGATACACTTCGCATGCATACTCATTTGTCCAAGTTGCTTCACGTTATGATCTTGCATTTGACAGTCCTATTTGAATATTGTGGCCAGCTGTCTTTGATGGTACGGTACGGGACAGGTACGGGATAGCGCCAGGCATGCCGATGGCACAAACAAACAAACACGGAATTAAAGCCGTGTAGACCCTGGCTAGCGCCAGATGTTACCGAAGTAACATCTTTTGCATAGCTACGGGAATAAAATACAAGCTATACATGACCACGACATGTGGTGTTTTTTAACGCTAACATTCGATTTAGTTCTCTTCCACCTGACACGTTTAAGTTACACACCCTATTTTGCATACCCTATTGGAACAAGCTTTTCAACAAATACTTCCCAACAAAATGATGCATAAGCCTCGATTTCTCACTTTAAAAAAATTATCTAGCTGATAACGTCTTCCCGTTTTTCAGGTTTATCCTTTAGTATTTTTTGTGCAATTCTCAAACAAAACACAATATTTCTGCTGGCCCGCAGTTCGACCATCGCCAGGCGATATTACTGGTCAGTCGGCGACACGCATTTTCACAAAAAAATGCGTTTCACCTGCTGGGAGAGTATGCGTGTACTCGAGTCTCATCCTGCGCACGTTTTTTCTTCTTTTTTCAGCTCCAGTATAGCTGTATTTTTCATTGCAAAGCCGTCCTCGATTGTTGTGTTTGTTGTTCAAACGAAGTGGACATTCAATCATGAAGGCAGAGGACATAGGAGCCTGATTGGAGTTTCTCGTGGCATAGGACGGCCACACAGAGACACTTTGGGATTTTCTGAATATAAAATACCGTACGCACGATGCTGAGATCAATTTGCGCGATATCAAATTGTTTGTGATCTACCACATTGAGCAGAACGGGATCCAAACACAAGCTTACTGACGGTTAGGCTGCCACCAGACGCCAGAAGTCGGACACCATGTCCTTTGCCGCGACGTCCATCTCCAAAAAGAACTCCATCTTCGTCGTGAAAAGGCTTGAAATACTCAATATTCAACCGAGATTCGCGGTCTCACCCTTTCTCAGATCGAATCTTTTTCTGTTGTAGCAGTTCCAGGCCAGATCCCCGCCACTACTTCAACAGGGGATGGCTCCAAAGCATGCCTGGAACAAGCCATATCGAGGTTGCAAGCCACACCTCTCAGCAGGAAATTCGAAATTTCAATGGTGGAAGATATACTATGAAGAGAATTTCAAAAAGTATATTTCGCGGAGCGATCGCTCAACCTAAGTCATTCAAACTTTGCAGGATGGTTCAGACGTACATGCTAGGCATGAAACCACAGGGGATGATATCATAGCTGACACACAGAGTCACACGTACACACACAGCAGATTCGTGTGCACAGATACTAAATTAGTGGACGTCGTCATCTTCTTCCCACTGATCTCAAATGTACTATGACGTGCTACTTCGCCCGACGGTCTCGTGAGACTGCCTGTTCACTCTTAGCTAAGTACACCCTAGTTAACTCCAGCTGGGTCGACTGGAGGGACAAACCACTGTATGGTATCTGTTTTTTCTACCCGCACGGATAAAATAGACAGGAGCTACAATTTAAAAGAGCCATCATAAGGCGAGACCAAAAAAAAAGAGATTCCCGGGCCCTCCAGCACCAAAATCGAGCCGAAGGCAATTTTTTTGAACATTTCGTATTATGTACAGTGCTGATCGTGCGAGTAGATCTGTGACATGGTGTCACACAAACCTGGGCTTGTACGACTCCCTGGTGTACGACTCGGGGCTGCCGTTGGCCGAAATACAAAAGAAATTGTACGGGTACCGGCAAGAGTACATAACCCCCCTACTCTTGGTACCGGTAAACCACGTACCTGTCGTCTGTAAAAAAAAACGGAAAATACTGTGAAAAAAAGTTCAGCATGCCATGCATACACACATAGGAAAAATAAATGAAAAATAAAAATTCGCCCGCCCGCACCAATTTCAGATGGGTCCTGCCCGGGAATCTCAATTTTATTTTGGTCTTGCCTAATATCTGTATGTTGGAACGTACCGTTACATGTGGGCGCAGAAGACAGACTTCCGTCGGCATTGCACGTAGCCGTCTTGGACCCTGACAACGTGTAACCAGTGTTGCAAGAATACGTCACCACTCCCTGATATGATACCGTCGCCTTGTCCCGGCTGCCTTTTGTGGGGGCAGCGGTAGTGCAGTTGACAACTAGGGGAAATGAGCGGATTCAGATTGTAAACACACACACAAACACACACACACACACACACACGCACACACACACTTTAATGTAGAGCAAACATACTGGTGTTAGTACAGGGTAGACAACACAATGTCATGTTGTCCTAAACTCGAGTGAACAATTGTACGAGAAGTGTAAAAATACCTTGAAACCGGCAACCCCCACCCCCTCACATGCACCCCAAAAAACATTACGGAGCCCACAAATATGCTGATATTTATACTTGGAATTGCTTTGTACGAGACTTACTTCTGCATTGGGGAATCGGAGACACGGATCCAATGCACACCGCATTGGAAGTACGGAACATTTGGTAGCCAGTGTTGCATGTGTACTGGACTGTCTCCTTGTACTGAACCACCGCCTTGTTAGTTTTGCCATTGGGTATTGGCGGAACACTGCAATTCGCAGCTGTAACACACAGAAAACGGCAGACATCGAATCAAGAGTACACCAAAAGCACGTGTTGAGTGACTTCGAAGATGCAACTGGGCGCTTCCGGAATCTTTCTATCTGAGTCAAAACATTCATTCTTCGAAGACCCAGTCTCGAACCAGCATCAGTAACAAATTGAACATTCCGACGAAAAATACCGACAAAATTACACAAAACTACTATCTAGCTTTTTAGGAATGAGTTTGCTCCCACACTGTAGCTCGCGCTATTCCGCCGATTTGACTTTGACACTTGACTGACTTATTCATTAAAACTCATGTTGCGCGGGTTGCTCTTTGTCGTACATGTGGCTGCGCGGGTTGCTCTTTGTCGTAGATGTGGCTGCATTTGTGTCTCTGTGTCATACATGCTGCTGACCCGTGGTACACGCTGCTGCGCTGTCTTGGATCGCTTAGTATATGCCGCTGCACCGTCTTCTTTCCGATCCGTATGCATTATTTCTCATCTCGTCCCCGTTGTATACGCATTTCTCGTCTTGTCTCCGTTGTATTTGTCTGGTTGCCGTCTTGTGTCCGTCGTATTTCCTCGTCGGTCGTCTTTGTCTCCCGTCCCGTTCAGGTTGTACTATTCACATGCACCTCCTTCATCTCCCTCACCCCACTTTTTCCCCTCTTTTTCCCCACTTTTTCCCCTCTTTTTCCCCTCTTTTTCCCCACTTTTTCCCCTCTTTTTCCCCACTTTTTCCCCTCTTTTTCCCCACTTTTTCCCCTCTTTTTCCCCTCTTTTTCCCCTCTTTTTCCCCACTTTTTCCCCACTTTTTCCCCTCTTTTTCCCCTCTTTTTCC